TCTAAATTTTAGGTTGAACTTTACATTTTTATTTCAGAAGTTTTATTCAGAGTGCAGTGAGAAAATCAAAAAGGGGTTTTAGTCTAGGGTTTTAGTACTTGCGCATTTTATTTCACCGGTGAGCTTACGTTGCGGCCGTGATGCACTCGTTGGTCGACATAAGATGAATGGGCTCACGTGGCAGCCATCGGTAGGGTGTCCATCGACGAACGCAGCTGTGCAGGGCTTCGACGGGGGGATTCCATATGCGGCGTCAAATTGGCCTATTTGTAACGGAGGCCAGCAGCGTTTCAATTCACTTTAGCCCGGGGAGTGGTTCCAGGTGCGCGCACAAACTACCGCGAGTGTCTAACGGTAAGTCGAGTGAGGTTTTCAGCTTATGGGACGGTCTTCACAAATGTCCAACGGTTCGCTAATGTTCAAATGGCGTTTTACTGTGCCAATCACTGACCGTCCATGCACTCGCGTCGTACCGGTACGAATTTGTTCGAAACCGTGGACCGCATAAAATTAAACACCACACTATGACCTCACTCGACGGATCGACCAGCCCTTGGCGAGCGTGTGGTGACACCAGTCGATCACTTTCTTGATCCTTAGGATCGGAATTTTAATGAACTTTCGAAACGCAGTCACGTGTAACTTGTGACAAGCCGCGACGTCACTCCTCCGGGCAAACACACTATCTAAGACCGCGTGCTTTTGTCCCCAGAATCCTTATATAGGTTTTCGGGAACGGATACAATAATAGAAGCCCATACACAATGCTGCATACGTGGCATCTCGGTGTCTCCTCTTCGATGACGGTTTGACAGCAACAAACAATTTTATTTTCATAGGTTGGTATTGCGAACATTCAAAATTTAAATTTAAATTTTATAGCAAATGCTAAATTCCCTAATCCTATATTTTAATTCGATTTTAATACAAACTGTAAACAAAAATAGTAACAAAACCAATTAACTAATGCAAAATATATACAAAACCGCAAAATACCAACCTAGGGCTACTAGACATAAAACATTCGTCTCTCAAACACAACGTGGAGTATATACAGACAAATATTTTATACCTAGACATTTACTGACAATTTTTATTATTTACAATATATACATTTTTGTCAATGCTAAGTGCCCCAGTAATCAGAGGACGATTGTAACCGTGAAAGCGTTGGTTACAGTCCATAATGGCATCACGCCAAAATGCATCCACTCGAGTTTGTTTTCTGTTGTAGTTTTCAAAGATACTACTTTGACAGATCACTGAACGAAACTGTCGGTTTTCCACATCTGCAAAAACACCACTTACTTTACAGTGGATTGTAATGATGCTTATAGCGAATTCGTTTATTATTCAGTTCCAACCTGGATCGGGTATCAAGATTTGGTCTGCTTGTTTTCTGACAAACGTCAGTTTGATCGTTTGTTTTTAAAACCCAGCTCAGGTTGAGGTTCGCACTGACAAAAAGTTCGGTTTCGCACTGGGTTGGAACTGGTTCCAACCCCGATAATAAACGAATTCGCTATTAGCAACTTTTCCATTCACCGTTCTGCAACAGTTTTGTCCAAAGCAATAGTTGTAGGATCGACCGATGAACATGCTCTAGTAAGAGAATACGTCAACGGGGATCTGACAAGCAGTTTGATGACTATGGCCTTCAAAAAAGTTCTGCATTCATCTCGGAATTGTAGGATGTCCTTCTCATTGATGTTTCGAATTTAACTTAGTGCTTTCTTTACATCAAAACCAAGAATGATTTTTTTTGCTAGCAGATGATTTTAGCTGTCGTTAACTGCTTCTGCTGTCAAAACTGAAAGCTTTTGGAGAATTTCTGGCTTCATGAAACTTTCCGTCAGGTTCAGTAAAGTGCGATACATTTCTGCGTAAAGAAATGGAACGATTGATAGTCTCGCAGAAACGGCTTAATTGTGTTAGTGAAATGTGCAAATGTTTAGTGGGATTCGTATTTCATTGCAATGCTTATCTTTTTACACGAAACAGCTGTTGGCACTGACGTCAATCTCACTGTTGACAGTAGGGAATGTTGATAGAGTGACGTCACCATTTGAGTGATCAGCAATGTTTACAATAGTTTTGCTTCTAACACCAGCAGGCTACCTGTTGGCACATACCTTATATGAATTCATTGGTGTGAAGTCGCCAATATGAGGTGTTGGTGAAAAAAGCGATTTGCCTTGCGTTACAACTGTCATTGGACGGATGAACGCATAGTTGTTTAGATTGCACTTTTTCGGTACACAATCGGTAAAAAATATTCAGAATAAAGTTACTTTTACTCAATTTGGAAGGAACGATGCATAAGCAAAAAAATTCCCTGATTGTTTCGAGAATTCCCTGATAATTCCCTGATTTTTCCAGGGAATTTAGAGTTCCCTGATAATTCCAGGGTTTTCCAGGTAGTCGCCACCCTGAGTATTATCAAGTACTAAGTATGTGAAATTACGATAGAAATCATTCCATATCGCAGTCATAGTTTTTAAGTGATAATCCAATGGAATCTATCAATCATCACATAGAATGAATAAATCTGCTGACATTGCTATGTTATAAGATGGATCCAATAAACGGTACATGTCGATTTGTTTCAGTGTGGGACATAGTAGACAAATTAGAGAGAAAACAAGGAGGTATTAGTATTAGTTATATGTAAACAAACAAAACAAAAGTTAGATAATGCGGCACTGTAACTACTACTATTTTAGAGGTATGATTCGTCATGTTTAACTCAATGTTTCAATTGAGGCAAACTATCTATCTTACAATTACAAAAGCAAACCTAAACTTACAATTATATGCAAATGCAAAATGAAACTTGACAAATCATCGTCAATTCCCTTATTCCAGGGCAGGGCCTGACGATTTGAATCTAATTTTGATCAGTGAACGGGCACCATATGGTACATTTTCTCACCATGAACCTATCATTTCCAGCCTATCTGAACTATTTAATAAATGGAAGCCATAACATGGGTTACGCTCCCCCTAAGCGGGCCCTCCGCATCCTGTCTCTGTCTTATCTCAAATACAAAATGCCAATGGTATGAATGTATCTATATATAACTTGGAAATGACGTACAATCAAATAAACCCGTAATCCACTCACTTGGTCAGGCTTCAGAATCGTCTAGTGGACAGTGCACTCTACACTCCAAGTTCCCTTTTTTCAAATTTACCGCAAATTTGATATTTTACCCATTGAGTGTTGATTAGTCACAATGAAACATTGTGACAGAAGTTGAGGTTACTAGTGTATTAAATAATCTAGGTCCTATTTAGGAAACCAAATCTGGCCAACGCCCACCCTAAACCTAAACCTGTTCTAATCCACCTGAAATGACTAACGAATGGAAGACTTTGACTACCCAGCCATGCAATAGTCTCATTCCGTGCCTTATGGCAACTTGATGATTCTATTGCGCTCATCTTCTGGCACCACCCAGGGGAGACTTGGTCCTGTACCCAATGCTTAACTTATCTCCATTCCACTCAACTACTCGCAATTTCGTGTGATATAGTGGGCGGAATATTATTATATGAGACAATTCAATGCAAACGTCTTTCCAAATTTGGCAGATCGACAGGTAATCGGTGAGTTACCACGATAGTTGCTATTCAACAACTCGACAACGTCCCATCGTCAACGCCTGCTATGATAATTTCCCATAGCAGACGCCAACGAAATGACGTCATCAAGCTATCGATCAACTATACCCTGGTTATCGCCTGGTACCTTATAGCACGATGCTAGGAGGCGAACCGGAAGAATCGATGAGCTACCTCCCCCTGTTCCGTTTGTGCTAATTATACACTCAAAAAATAAATCACGTCATTTCCAATGGAAAATATCCATTAGAATTTCACATAGCTTTCATGTGATCTCATAATTCCGAATCACACCAACAAATCACATGAACCTTATGTGTCCAATGAAGTTTATGTGATTCATCATCATCACACAGAATTCATGTGATCAAATGAATATTATGTGAAAATCAGAAAAAAAAAATCACTATTTTTGTTATTGGAAAAATATCATAGCTTGTTTCTGGTCGTTGGAAGCAACCGGTGGAAACTAACGGTTTTACATTGGCTCACACTGGACTAGCCTATCGATCCCATCGGTTCCAAGTACATTGATTAACGTTCCCAATTCTAATCGAAATTCTAGTACTACACTATGTTTGTTTTGATTCGTTGAAAGTTTTACAGATACAATGAGGAGTTCGTGGATTTTCCTATGTTTCAAGGGGTGCATCCATTTGCTTGGGACCGAAGATAGTACCAGAGTTGAGCCAAAAATTTGAGCAAGTTTCTTCGAGAGTTACCTCTATCCTGCATAAGCAATAACCATAAGAAGCGCCTAACCACCAATTCGGGTTATCATCCCAACTTTATGTGGTATGGTTGTACCATCTATGATATTGTTAGTGTATGGTACCCGTTTGTTAGGGATGGAAATACCCTTTTATTTGAGTAATGTTTGCTCAACTTGCAAAAAATGCAACATCAACCACAAGCTCACAACTCTATTTAAAATTTTAAATGAATAACCATCCGCAAACTACATGGAGTATGTATTTAAGTTGTTCGAAACTTGCGAAGTCAGTCATACTTATTCCAGTTTTTTTAGGTAGTCGACATCCTGAATTAGCTGAGTAAGTTATATGAGATTTTTTATTGATAAGAATCTAGAAATAAAGTAGGCAGAAGTGGAAAAACTAAGTGATGAAGTGATTTTCCACGTAGCATTATTTAACGTGTAGATTATTTTGAGTGATACTTACACTGAAAACTATTCTTACTCAGAGAGAAATTTTTCCATACGAATGAATAAAAGTGACTCACTCTCTAAGTTAGTTTCGTTTTCAATGTATACACGAGTTTAAAAAAAAAACATTAAATAAACACTACTAGGTACCTTTTGGGTGAACAAACAAAGGCTTTCTTTTGTCTTTGCTAATTGATGTTGTTTGAAACTTTTCAGCAATATAACAGTGTTTTATTCACTTATTCATTTCTCATTCGTCAGATTTTTGTTGTTGTTCAGTTAATCTACAGTAATTATGTTCACGGCTTTATTTAGGAGTGTCCAATTAACAGCGCATATACATATATAAATGTGTAGCCATGATGATGATTATACATATAGAGAACATTTTTTATCAGAAATGTCCAGCAAACGAACGTTGGATGGATTGTAACACAAAAAATCGACACTTTTTTATGATTGTTCACTTGAATAAACCAATGTTCATATATATTATTAATTACTATATACTAAGACGAACCATCCGTACAGTGTGTAGAGCGTAGGAAAAAAGGACAAAAAAGAAGGACAGAAAAATAGAACACATCAAGAACAACATGCGAACATTCTAAACAAACTTGTGTAGACCCTTTTCTCACCAACCGAAGGTCGGCCACGCAAACCAACAACATCAACGGGTAGGGGTTTGCATTGGTGACCTTCGTTTGGCGAGAAAAGGGCCTACAAAGGTTTGTTTGCTCTTTTCACAAGTTGATCTTGATATATTCAAAAGTTACTTATTTCATTCTGCCGGATTAATTTGCTGCGGTGTAAATCTAGGAGTGAAAAAAATAATCTTTTAAGTGTGTGGATGTGCTTTCCCGCGGATCTCCCCATTTCCCCCAACCCACGCTGCTGCCAGTAATCACACGTAGTTCTACGGCCCGCTCGTTCACAAAATATCTTAAGGCTACCATTATCTGCATGTGAATTAACAGAACACGGTTAAATATTCGAAATCGGCGAACACCATTGGGGGCGGGGGACAACAGGAAACGATTTTTAGGGAAGCTCCTACAATGGTGTATTGATTTTGCAATAGTTAAGTCCATGCTGATTTCCTAACCCTCCTGTCCAAAGTCCTCTGTGAATTTGTCCAGCTTCTTCATGTCATCCTCGTTTACGGTTGGTTTGGTACTGGTCAACGATTTCATCATGTCACCCTGGAAAATTGCACCAAATGTTAGCAACAGACAGTCCGAAATCAATTTCCCATCCCACTTACTATCGTCACTGGGGGAACGGACAGTTTATCGCTGGGCACCTCCATCCAAGTCATCTCGATGGCACCGGGATCACCCGGACTGCACGGGACCAACAGATCGTCGCAGATTGTTTCCTTATCCACGGGAGAAGGGCCAGTCATCTTTTTGAAATGCGTCGACGATTGAACCTTGCGGACCGGTTGCATGAGCGCGTCGCGAACGACAATTGAAATATCCGCCCCGGAGTAACCCTCTGTCCGGTTAGCCAAGGTGCGAATATTTTCCTCCGTGAGACAGTGGGACGTATTACCCAGATGTAGCTTGAACATTATCAGCCGGGCGTGTTCCTCCGGCAAGGGAATATAGATACGCTTTTCGAAACGTCTCCGGATGGCGGCGTCTAGAATCCAAGGAGTATTCGTGGCACCCAGCACCAGAATTCCATCGTTATCACTACCCACACCCTGCATTTGTACCAGAAATTCCGTTTTGATACGACGGGCGCTCTCACTCTCGTTGTCCGATCTGGACGAGCAGAGCGAGTCTACTTCATCAATAAAGATAATGCTAGGTTTGTGGGTTCGAGCTAGTTCGAACAGATTCTTAACCAACTTTTCCGACTCGCCAAGCCACTTGGATACCAGATCGGAACTCGATACCGAGAAGAATGTTGAATTGTTTGCTTCCGTGGCAACTGCCTTTGCTAGATACGATTTACCAGTTCCAGGAGGCTGAAACAAATAAATTCATTAGGTCTCGGGTCCAATCTCCTAAACAGCAACAGAAACCTCACCCCAAACAGCAATATTCCCTTCCAGGGGATTCGCTTTCCGGTGAACAAATGTGGAAACTTGATCGGCAAGATTACCGCCTCCTTGAGGGCTTCCTTGGCTAATTCCAGTCCGGCCACGTCGGACCACTTGACGTGTGGCTTTTCCACTACGATGGCTCCCTCAAGCTTCGACTGTAGTTTCTTCTTTTCCGGATCGTCCGAGTCGGAATCGGAACTATCGCCATTGTTCTTACCGCCTTTGCTCTCCTTTCCGCTGCTGCCTCCATCCTTGACCGGCTTCTTCTTGCCCTTTTTCAGATAGGCTTTCAGCTTCTCAGCTCGGTCTAGGTATTGAAGGCATTTCGCTCGGATGGAATCCTTCGCCTTGTCTCCCTGAGCCTCGTCTGAAAAATAGTATCAAATTAGAGCAAACCTACCATCAACTCCAACAACTCTGAAAGGTCACGGAGAGTAGGAGTTCACCTTCAAGGCCATCAGAGCGACAAAACATCGATTTGGAATTAACTTACACTTGATGGCATGCAGAAAGTATTCCACTCCGTGTTCGTACAGGCGTAACGCTTCCTCGTAGTTTTTGTTGCGATCCTCCTCGGTGGCCTTCGTGACGATATCGATCGCCTTCTGCAGCGTTGATCCAGTAGCCATTGTTAGCCTCTCCCGGAGGTTGTTTACCTACGCACAAAATCCGAAACACCACTGGATAACAACACACTTCTAGTCAAGAACCATCAATCAAGCAAAGGGAGCTTCGTTCAGCGCCTAGATCTTAAAATGCAACTTGCCTTTCTTGATTGAAGACGAAAGATGGTAGCGAAGTATGACTAATCCGAACTGGCCCGTAAATCTGATTATTTTTTTGCATTTTATATGAACAAGGCGGAAAAGTGACGTACCACACTACACTGTCAAGAAGTGTATACATATGCCAGTAGCGCACACAAATAAACAATATGCGAATAAAAATTATTCGTGAATTTTCGATTATCCAATCAAGATCAGGCTGAAATTGCACATTACGATGCTCGAGCTTACCTTTAACAAGCCGTGCTAGATATTCAAATCAAAACTAATGCGAAGAATAAACCACAAATCGCAGGTTTTCGTATTTTTTTAAAAGTGACTCGAATCAATCACTTTTGCGTTCGGAGAAAAAAACACCATCGAAGAGAACTGCATCGCAGTGGTGACAAAAAAGAAGAAAAACACTGAAACGAAAAGTGCTTTGCTTTTTTTCTTCCAAAAGTGTCATTTGATGGATGCATCTTACACTCAGAAAATTTATCACATATCTAATGGATGAAAACCATGTGAATTTCACGTAGCTTTCATGTGATCACATAGCTAAAAATCCCACCACAAAATCACATGAATATTATGAGGCCGATGGAATTCATATGAAAAATCATATAAAATTAATGTGATCGCATAAATGTTATGTGAAATTCAGATGAATTTTATTGATTTTGTTTATGGATAAAAATCATTTGCGTTTTCAATGGATACTAAATGAAAACTATTTTCGGTGTATGTATCCGAAATTCAACACGACCAGACAGATCAACTCAAAATTGAGTCGAATCAACTCTAATAATTATTACAAAAAATGATAAGTTTGTCAGTAAACCTATTTTATTAATTTCTGAGTTAGTGAAGAAAAATGGTGTCGGGCTTGCAAAGCTGTGTATCCATTGTATCAAGAGCAAATTTTCATTATGTCGTAAGTAACATTCGCACCAATCCGAGAAAAATAAGGTTTTGTTTTGATGACCGAAAAGTTATTCCTATTTCCAAGTAAACACATATAATCTCATAGTGATAGCAATGTTTAACATATTTAGCAGGGTTTTAATCATACAAATGCAAATCGCTAGCTTTCATGCTAAAAAATACTGGTTTTTGAGTCAAAAGTTATTATACGTCGTTTGGTGGCCCCTATTGTTACTTAAGTCAAAGTGTATTTACCAGGATATTCGGGAGAATTATCAATCATCAATTCATCATTTTAGGACCACCGAAATCATCTTAGCAACAAACAGTTCGATTTATTCACTTTAATAATGAGAAAGCGAAACGACGAACGTACACTTTTCACGGGTTTCTCAGCGCTGATACTTAAGTCAAACGGCATCTCCATAGAAATTGGGTGACTTAAGTAACATCGAAAACTATTTTGATCGGAAGGTGATTACGTCAAAAAGCAATTTGACTAGTAAATAAATTTAAAAATGGGATTTGATCCTATATTCGGACAGTATATAGTGTAATAGAAGGAGAATCGATTGACACTGATAGCTCGACTTTGTTTACCTTTGTTACATTCGACGTAATGAAAATTTGCTCTTGGTATATTTTTTTCCATTCGCGGTAAGTGAAGATATTTTTTATACAATGATTTTAATAAAAACAGTGAAATTCTTCAACAAACACCTGATATATCGTATGTCGTCGACAAAACGTCCAGAACGCTTGGCTTTGTCTTCAAGATTACTAAAAACTTCACAGACATTTACTGCTTGAAATCGCTCTATTGCTCTCTCGTACGATCTACGTTGGAATACTGCTCTGCAGTCTGGAGCCCAAACTACAATAATGGGGCCGAGCGAATTGAATCTGTGCAACGACGTTTTCTTCGCTTCGCGCTCCGTAAGCTGCCTTGGAGATACCCACTTCGTCTTCCAAGCTACGAGAATCGCTGCCAATTGATCAATGTCGAGCTCTTACGTATCCGATGAGATGTTTTCAGAGCCTTAACCGTCGCCGATACTCTGCAAGGAAGAATCGACTGCGAAGCAATTCTGCAACAAGTGAACATTAATGTTCAACCTCGATCACTACGCAACAGTCTTATGATGAGACTTCCACTTCTTCGATCTAATTATAGCTTAGGGAGCGCTATTTATGGCTTGCAACGAGTGTTCAACCGAGCAGCGTCGATGTTCGATTTCCACTTGACGCGGAATATGCTTCGCCGAAGATTATCTGCCTTTTTTGCTGATCGAAGACGCTTGACTCCCAACAACTAAGTGTAAAATGTAAGACTTATAATTTTTTAGTAACTTGGCAATGCTTTCCTAGTTATTTTCGTTTGTATCTTTAGTAACTGTAGTATATGTTGTCTGTATAATCTGTACTTTTTTTTTACAGCACATGATTGAGACTATTTCTAGTCTGTTGATGCAAACATAACAAATAAACAAACAAAACTACCCGTGGCATTCTTAAATGAACAGCTCCCATCTCGATCTGATGAAATTGTTCGAAGCTGAAGTCACCGAATCCGATTTTTCTGATACTTAGCCCAAGAATATGTGCCACGGCAAAGTGAAAACTTCACAGCAATCTGCCGGATGTTCGAACAACTGGTTCCTGAAACTGCACTTGGGGAAAGCTGGCCAATTGCAAGCAAAATTGGATTAAGCAGATCCGATACTTATGAGAGATCCGGGTGCTGACATCAACTCGTTACCAAGACCAATTATGCTGTATATTTATTGTAGAAATTATCGTTGCTCATTTTTATCATTGTTATCATTTTATTAAATAATTGAAACAAGAAAACACTAAACACCATGCCATAGTAAAACATCATAGAACATAGTAAATACAACAATTTATTATTGCATAGTGAAATCTACCAATGCTAATGCACAAACCCGTATTAAAAATAAAGACATACTCGATTGTAAATACCATGACATGTGAATTTTTGCTGCACAATATTTTTGATTACACTATTCTTTGTTAAGAACATACAATATAGTCGGCAAAAACGTAGGTGCGTTGTGTTTACTTTAAACCCCCAATATGGTAGAATCTACCGCACCATGGCGCCTGATGAATCTATTCGAAGCACCCACTACTGCCAGGACGTTGGAATAAACAGTTCACTGTTTAGGGTCATAAAATGAATTTTACGCAGGATTTTACGTTAGATAGGGTTAACTACCCCATTTCGGGCCTAAAGGGTGATACGGTCAAAATTTGGTCAAGGGAAAACGCGTGTAAATCGGTGAAATCGTTTATTTAAAAAATCAAATTAAATTTCTTTTTCAAGTTCAATTAGTATAAAATTCAGGAAAAATATTCAGTTAGGCTTCAACTTTTCCAAATCCGAATTGCCCGGCCTTATGCTTGACCCCTGCCATCAGATTTTGTACAGCCACCTTGTCCACCTTCTTCGCCGCAGAAAGCCAGTTTGCCTTGAACTGCTGCTCGCCCTTAGCAGTTTTTTTGGTCTTCTTTAGGTTCCGCTTGACAATAGCCCAGTATTTCTCAATTGGGCGGAGCTCTGGCGTGTTGGGAGGGTTCTTGTCCTTGGGAACCACCTGCACGTTGTTGGCGGCGTACCACTCCATGGCCTTTTGACCGTAATGGCAAGATGCCAAATCCGGCCAAAACAGTACGGAACAACCGTGTTTCTTCAGGAAAGGCATCAGACGTTTATTCAAACACTCTTTCACGTAAATTTCTTGGTTGACAGTCCCGGAAGCTAAGAAAATGCTGCTTTTCAAGCCACAGGTACAGATGGCTTGCCAAACCAGATATTTCTTTGCGAACTTTGACAGTTTCATGTGCTTGAAAACATCTGCTACCTTTCCCCTTCCTTTTGCCGTATAAAACTCCTGTCCCGGAAGCTGCTTGTAGTCGGCTTTGACGTAGGTTTCGTCGTCCATTACCACGCAGTCAAACTTCGTCAGCATCGTCGTGTACAGCCTCCGGGATCGCGCTTTGGCCGTCGTATTTTGTTTATCATCGCGATTTGGAGTCACTACCTTCTTGTAAGTCGATAGTCCGGCTCGTTTTTTGGCTCGATGCACGGCTGTAGACGATACACCCAGCTTATTTGCGGCATCTCGGAGAGAGAGGTTAGGGTTTCGCTTGAAACTACCGGCAACTCTCTTTGTCGTCTCAGCGGCTTCCGGTTTTCGATTTCCCCCCGATCCAGACTTCCTGGCTGTCGACAAACGTTCCCCAAACACTTTAATTACATTTGTAACGGTTGATTTGGCAACTTTTAGCGATTTTGCCAACTTTGCGTGCGAGTAGCTCGGATTTTCGCGATGCGCGAGCAAAATTTTGATACGCTGCTCTTCTTGCTTGGACGGCATTTTGACAACTGAAGAGTGAATTCCAAAATCAAAATAGGAGCAACATTCTACACACACACACCTTCAAAATGAGGGGTGTTCAGGTTTTTTAAATGCAAAATTGAAAGAAATACGTCAAGTTGATATTGACCAAATTTTGACCGTATAACCCTTTATTAAGCACAACCCGCACTTAGTCTTTCTTAATCTAGCGCAGTTTAGCACCAAAAGGAATGTTATTATTACTGATGGCTTCCAAATTTATTTACCTTTCCGTACGTACCGTAAGATTTGATAAAGAGAAACCAATCGTTGAGATATTGTCAAAAGTCTAACACAGCTTCTTGACGCCAAACTCGGCCTACGGATTCTAAACTCGGCCTAACGCATTGAAACGCCAATGAATTCACTTCGGCCTACCGGATGAAAATAAAAATAAATTCGGTCGGAGCGCTTCTTTTGTTTTTGGGAGTAATGGTTGCAAACCTTCATATCACGCGTTCTCATTGACTTCGTTCGGTAGCTTACTAACTAAAGTATCGTTCCAAACGCATAATTGACTTGTTAACTCTGAAATCATGGATTTATTTGAAGTTTACTGCTCGATAGGCCCAAAATGGGTGATTAGGCCGAAGTAGTTCTCTACCCTATTTGCACAAAAAATCACTAAAGGTAACAAAGCTGCTTAGCTGCCCAATGTAGGTATTGAGCGAATGGATTTGTATGGAATCCCAGATCTCCACGATGCTGTCTGAGGTGGAACTAAGACCCTAAGACGCTGTATATTCCATCCATCAGCGGAACAGCTTATGTTAATTTACTACTTTCATCTTACACCGAATAAATTTCACAAAATTAAATAAACTATTAAACTTTTGCTTATACCCCGACTATGGCTTATATCATGTAATATAGGCTGTCTTGCAATGAGCACTCATACATAGGATTTCCAGATGACTGGGGCCTCCCTTAGCTCAGTCGGTAAAGGCGCAGCTACAAAGCAGGACCATGCTGGAGGTAACTGGGTTCGATTCCCGGTCCGGTCTAGGAATTTTTCGGTTTGGAAAATTTCTTGACTTCCCTGGGCATAGAGTATGATTGTACTTTGTCACACAATTATACTAATGCGAAAATGGTACATGCATCGAAAGCTATCAATTTATAACTGTGCAAGTGCATCTGGAACACTAAGTTGAGAGCACGCAATAAAGCTAATATGCGATATGCAATAAGCTTGAAATGCGAAAAAGAAGAAGACCAGATGGCATAGCAAAACCGAAATAAACATGGCCCATGATGAGATTTTTCAATCCTTTAAATTTGTCGAACCTCTTAACGGAATCGCTTTATGAAGAGCTTTGAGTGGGTTGGTTTATTTCCTTTAAATTCCGTTATAATTGCTTATCTTTTGACAGATACGCGTATTTCGTCTACTACTTGCAGACTTCATCAGTGCCAAGTACTCAACACCAGATTTTTCATCCAAAACGAAGTGCAGTCGCAACACTCGATTTTGGATACTTTCAAAGCACGAAAACGAAACGCATGATTTTCATCCATAATCAAAATTAATGGAATTCATTTGTCTGACTCCAGAGAGACATTCGACACGCCAATTTTTGCAGTGCACTGTGAGCGGTTGAAATGTGATTCACACATTTGGCAACCATGCCAAAATGAGGATGATGATGATGATTGAAATCTGTCATCAGTAATATACAAGCTGATGCGCCGCCATCAGCCAAAATCAAAACAAATTCCAATTTTCATATTAAATTTTAGTCAGCTAAAACGCACCATGAGCCTTCTAGCGGCTTTCCGAAACTGTGCACGTCGTTCTCCACGGTGGATCCGTGTCACCTGCAACCAGCCACTGGTAAGTCCAGTAAGCCACCCGCCACATGACATTAAACACGGCGTCAACTTCAATCCTCGGAGGCACCTTAGTTCAATGAATCCCAACGACTTCATAGCGGCCTCTCTTATCGATTCCGTAACGTTTGAAACGGTTTGCTCCGACACACTGGAATCGTTATGCGACTACTTCGAACACCTGGTGGAGGAGGCGAGCTTTCTCAAATCAGCTGATATCATTTATGGGGTAGGTCCATCAATCGGATTATCAGGCGACCTTAGTTGTAACGATATTCACGTTCTAGGATGGCGTACTGACGGTAAATTTAGGGAAACCCTATGGAACATACGTAATCAACAGACAGTCACCCAACAGGCAAATTTGGCTTAGTTCTCCAACCAGTGGCCCCAAGCGGTATGATTTCATCCCGGAAAAATCGGCGATCAACGAAGGCTACTGGGTTTACAAGCACGATGGAGTTTCGCTGCATGAGCTTTTGCAGGAGGAAATTGGACACATTGTGCAAAAAGAGGTGGACTTCCTGTCGCTTCCCCATAGCAAACGAGTGAAATAGTGTAGTAGATACTCGATCATGTTTCACAAAGATAGCTTTCAATAGGGATTTTCTTTTGTCAAACAAACGGAAATTGATAAGCAGTTGATTTTTAATAGAAATATACTAAGATGACTGATGATTTACGACTCAGAATGATACGATTCTTGTGAATGTTGCTGGTCAATGTGTTCTACGGTGGAATCGCGGTTGGAATCTAACAAACTACCGTCTAGAATATCCTTTAGACTAAAAGATTGGAAGGATTCGTGTTGGTTCAAAACGTGAAATGTGATGGCATTTACTTACCCTGATCCTCCACCTTCACCGTTGAGGAAACTTATGATGTTTATCGTGGATGTCCCGTCTGGAACTCCGGACATATTCGCCCCTCCCTGGGACGACTGCGATTGTCCAGGGTCTAGGAAACTCATATAGTCCTCTTCTTTGATATCACCCATCTTGCTACTGGATTGCATACTCTGCGCAGCCGATAGGTGATTCTCCTGCATCAGCTTATCATACTCTTGGAAGATGTCCTTGAATTCCCTGATCTCATTCTTATTCTTATTCCCGATCTCTTTGTAGTAGTTATGCAAACTAGTAACGCTTCGCTTGGTAACCGAATGGAAACCCTTCTCCAGTGTCAAAATATCCAGGAAGGACTCCGTTTCGCGATTTTCACTAACCAGGACATCTCGCATTGCTTCACACAGCATCCGCATGTACTGATCCACCCCATCGACCATCATGATCAATGCTGACTCGTTGATCTCGGAAAAGCCGGCCACCCTTAGCAAACCACAGATGACCTTGCGGTGCACTTGCATCAGAACCGGTCTGGTCAATTTTGGGTAGTTTTTCGGTTCCCCTCGGGTAAATTTGCTGTCGTGAGGATGAACGAACCACAAAGGTCGAGTGATTTTCTCGTTCTTTGTCAGATCGGCAGTGTTGGCCGGAGGAAAGTCAATATTCGGCATCAGCTGACACGGATTGAGGATATAGCTGTATCCGGACTTGGTCGAATATGTATCGATGAGTGTTTGAATCATCTCGGTCTGATTCATTACTTCGACCGTTTGGGTAACGAGCGGGTTTTTCAAAGGGAGGCTGAAAGCCAGAAACAAGCATATGAAGATACTTCTGATGGAAAAACGAATACCGGAACTTACCGTTTTTCACGGGTGATGGTGTATGGTAATTTGATCTGTTGGAATTTTTCCATCTTTGTCATGGGCAAGATTATTTCGGTACTGGCAACTTCCTTTTTCTTGTCGCTGTCATCCTCGAAGGAGCCCCAGTATTTTCGTTTCATTTGGAGCAGCGTTATATATTTACAGATATTTACCTACTTTTCTTTAATATGATCTTTGTAAAGTTTGCACAGAAACGTAATTATAAACAAAAGTCTGATGGACACTTTTGGCTGCTGAGACTGTGAACGCGTTTGATGACGAATTGATGATGATCATTAAGATTTTGACAACTAAACAATGATTATGGTTTGAAATTTCCCTGATGATGTCTCGAAAAATTTCCCATTTCGTGCACTGAACAAATTTAATGATTGAAAAAATTATTAGATTTTCAAGCTGAACAATGCATTAGGTTCTAAGTAATACCCCGTTCACATTACAGCGTATATCACGTGATATCAGTGCTAACATTTGAAAACGGCACAAAAGCCATTTGTAAACAAATGGTTTGTGGGCCCTTTACTCACTACTTGAAGTACACCCACGCGACACAACAGCAACATCGGGTAGGGGAAATTTCCCCCTTCCTGACGATGCTGTTGGTTTGCGTGGGCGTTCTTCGGGTAGCGAGTAAAGGGCCCACAAACCATTTGTTTACAAATGGCTTTTGCGCCGTTTTCAAATGTTAGCACTGATATATGCTCTCTTGTAATGAGCACTCATACATCTAGTTTTCACTGGAAATCCTATGTATGAGTGCTCATTGCAAGACAGCCTATATTACGTGATATAGGCTGTAATGTGAACGGGATATAACATTGATCGGTTCTCCACATCGACTTTCTTTTTCGATAATAACATGGGTACAGAATATTAAAAAAAAACTACAAGGGACAGCCCTATGGGGTTGTACACAATGGTGACGTAGGACTACGTGGTCTTATACAATAAATCTTATTAGTTAACTGCAGCAGGAGCTTGTGTTTTGTGTAGGAATAGGAATTTGAGTGGGGTTCTCGCTGTTTAAACTCTTTAGTATGACGCGCTTGACATAGATGGCCCACAGCGACTCACGAAGAGCTACTGATTCCGATCAATAGCGGTGCCGCTTCTTCCTCCTTCTATGAATGCTCATGTGGGCTGCAGCTCGCTGCTGGCGGGGAGCCTTTCGTTGTGTAATGTAAAACATTACCACTCATCACGCGGTGATTGAATAAACACCGTTTGGTGAGACCGGAAGGAATTCAACTTTGAAATCTGTGTTAGGGAAATCGCTTTTCGTAGGCAAGCGGTGATTATTTTAATTATCATAGCAACAATTGCACATTGGTGCAATTTTCAATAGTGACATTTTGAAAAATGATATAGTCTTAATTTTAACAGATTCGTAGAAAAAAAAATTCCTATCAATTGGTGTATTCAGAATAAAAATCCATCATCTCTGGATCAAAATTAGACCACTTTCATACCACGACCGACTTTGGTTTTTGAAATTCCACACCCAATGTTGCCTTCAAGTACATGGTATGTTAGATTTAAACATATCTAGATGGAGCTGGAATTAGGCGTAAAAGCTTTTGTAAACAACGAGGTGATTTTTAGGAATTCAAGGTACGCCCACGCAAACTAACATTACCGTCGGGTAGAGGAAGTCTTACCCTATCTGATGGTGACCCGATTGATGACCTTGACCACCACACACGGTGATTGGAACTGAATCCGATCAACGGTTAGGGCCAACCTTGAAAGCTAGCTGCTTGGGGGAGCCTTTCGTTTTGAAATGGAGAACACCACCACTCATCACACGGTGATTTAATAAACACCGTTTGGTGCGACCGGATGGAATTCAACTTTGAAATCTGTGTTAGGGAAATCGCTTTTTGCAGGCAATCGGTGATAATTTTAATTATCATAGCAACAGTTGTACATTCGTGCAATGTTTGTTAGTGAAATTTTGAAAAATAATAAACAACAGATGCGTAGGAATATTTCTGATCGATTGGTGATAAAAATTATTGAAATTGGTTCAGGGGCAGCTGAGTAATTAACGTTCAAAATCTTTCATAATTTTGTTACATGTTCTTTTAGATTTTCACAAAGTGTACCCCCACAAAGAATGCACAGACGTAGTCCTACGTCAAAAAATACCATAAACGAATAATAACTCAAAATATTAAACTATTCCACAAATGGTTTGGATGATACCCGGAACGCGTCGTTAAGTAAAATAACCATAATAATTTTTATTAGGGACCGTTTCTGGTCGTGTTTGTAGTATTAGAAGCTAGATAATATTGTGTGAGGCAGGATAATTTCTCAAAATGGGATTATACCATCTGTTTACTGTTTATGGCCATACGACTGCTACCATTGATTTAACACATGGTGGCTCTTTATCAATGATTTGCTCCTCAAGCCGCTGCCATAAAATACAATATAATTTACGCCGCCGGGATGTTCTGAGGTATAACATCTCTGATCACGAAGGGAAGTAAAGCCGTTGGTCCCCGGTTCATGAGTTGATGGGTCGATATGTAGCGTCCAGGTGTGGGAGCTGTCTCCCTGGTGTCGGTAGTATTGGTGCTTAGCACGGAAAACAAGATCTACGGAATAAAAAACCAAAGAAAAAAAAAATAGGCTAGTCAAGTAGTGAGCCAATTTAAAATCGTTAGTTTCCACCGGCTGGTACCACTGACAGTTCATCCTGGCGGTGCAAAACCTTATTAAAGCCATGACGTTCATATATGGTCCGGCTATCCAGCTATCTGGTGTTAGAAGCAAGAATATTATAAACACTGTTGAGTACTCAAGTGACGACGTCACTCTACCATAACATTCCATACTGCCAAAAGTGAGATTTGCGTCACTGCCAACAGCTGTTTCGTGTAAAAAAATAAACATTGCAATGAAATACGTTTCACTAACACCCAAGACACCAATAAACCTGTTGGGCCGGACCTTATATAAAGGACGTTATTTCAATACAATGTCATTTATATCTATAAGGCTTATTGGTATTAATGAAATGTGCAAATGTTTAGTGGTGTTTGTATTCATTGCAATGTTTCTCTTCTTATACTAAACAGCTGTTGGCAATGACGCAAATCTCACTGTTCACAGTACACGGAGGCAAATAAACTTAAGAATTTCATAAGACTCGACTAATGAACGACTCATATGAATTTTATAAGCGTAATTTATGAATGATTGAATGCCCAACATGAGGTAGCTAGTATATACTACTATAACCATTTAATTTCTCCAAGCGTTGAAAGACGAGTGGTCAACACACAGTTCTAAACGCTCACTTTGATCCGTGTTGGGCTGGGAGACAGCAATCTTTGTGAATGTGAACAAGGTTACCAAGACGCCGATCACATTATTTGGTCTTTTGCTGAGCATCGTGGAGTCAGGTCTGAGCTGTACGATTCCCTCCGGGCTCGAGGTAGACAATCTAATGTTCCAGTTCGGGATATTTTGGGAAGACGCGATCTGGAGTTTATGAAACTCATATATGTTGTCTTGGAGAGCATTAACCTTAGATTGTAAGTTTGGTTAACCTTGTGTTTAGTTTGTATTTTGTGTTTGTGTGTTTTTTTTAATGTTTGTTTTGTAATAATAGTAGAAATACACTACTGATATCAAGTTGAATATGAATAAGTTCATGTTTTAGGAATAATGAAATATTTGTATCGTAAATCATATTTCAAACCTCCTTCTCCCTCTCCACATCCATGAAACTGTAAATCTCCACTAACCTCGAGACGACCGCGAGTAATCAGTTCAATTCCTTCAACTCTAGATTTTAACTTTAGATTTAAGTGTGTGTGTGTGTGTGTCATCCTCTATCCCTCACCCAGCCGGGGGCGTTGGACAAGTAGAACTGCGAATAATTTGATCAAATCTCATGCTCCGTAATGGTGCCCTTTGTGTTGTGAAGACTAGTACTTCAAAAAGGGTAACTTTTGAGGCAAGACAGGGTGTCCTCAACAAGTTAAGGGAACAGGATGCACTAGATGTCCACAACAGGTACAGCAAAACATCACATAGACGCCCTTATTCACACTAACTACTCAGGGGATAGAAGGTCAAGAAGAGCCACCGCCACCAACTAAAGCTTGAACCGGGTACCTGGGACTCCCACGATATACCCGCGGCAATGGTCAGCAGACGATGCCCTGTGCGTATTTAGTAGTCCCAAGCTATTTCACTCACCCCTGCATGTTCTGCATGAATCCACACACCCCTGATGTTATCTGTCAAACTTTCATAGCGAATCAAAACAAACATAGTGTAGTAATAGAATTTCAACTAGAATAGGGTACGTTAATCGTTTGCTTGGGACCAATAGGCTGCTAAAGTGGTGAGCCAATTTAAAATCGTTAGTTTCGTATTGATTGTTGGTTATATGCAGGGGGTAAGTCACTCTGCCACCTTGTGTTAACACCCACAAAAACACACTCCGACACACTCCAAACACCTTGCCACCCAGGCAGTCTCCGCACAACAGATAGTTTTTCATCAATCCTGGCAAAACTTCCAAGAATGTTTACATCATATGTTGTTTATAATAGACCAATCCATGATCTGATTTTATCATTCATTTTTGACAGTATGATCTGCTTTTTATTGATCTGAACCTCTCAAATGAGTAAACAAACCAAACTAACCTGCCAAATTATTTAGAACGCTTGGTTTATTTATGTGACCCAGGATATCAGCGATTTTTTTGCTGTAGGTTTTTATATAGCTTATTACCCTACTTACCGTATATTTTAATCTCTATTCTGCGATTATTTCCTGGGGTTGTTTTTAAATTGGTAAATTTATTTTCGCGATATTATTACAGTTCATCATGGACGAGGTAAGTTTTTATTTAGCATTTTTACCTGCATTTTTAATTGTTTAGTTAACACCGAATTTTATTGCAGGATTACTTCTGGCAAAAACTGGAAGGAATGTATGGAAGCATTCATACTCATATAAAAACTATATTGAGCATGTCTAACCTATGCAATCAGTCGCTTGGTCCACACCAACAGACCACAAAGCTAACAGCCATCGCCGATGCCTCTGAGAACTGGAACATCTTTAGTTTCACGCGGCATGTTGCTAAGCTGCATGATTCACTGGCATCAGAAGTCATCAAACGCCTTTCGTCAGATGTCGCTTGCCTAGAAGCTTCACCTCCTCCGAGGAAGCTTCCTCTAATTGAAATGGGCGATATAGAGAACACGATCGGGATCGAGAACGACCATCAGCAAAATGATGAAACGACTCATTTCACCGAGACTCAATGTTCATCAACAATACCGTCTCCGTTGGTTGCCAACCTCAAGCTTGAGTCGACAAATGCTACCGAACCTGACGAAGATGTAGATTTCATGATGATAAATTACAATCAAATTTGTCGATCACCCCTTTCTCTTATACACTTAGTACGGGGCGAAGTTTACCAGCTGTGAGCTTTCATTCGCGAGTAATCGACGTCTAAAGCCATTGTTTACAAAAGCAATTCGGCCCTTTTGAAATGTTCACACCGCATTACTCAATTACGAATGTCCGTCATTGCTAAATTTAATGCGGCATGAAATCGCCAATTCAAACTCATCCATCTTCACAAAATAGTTGTTCTCAAGGGAAGCATTGAACCATCTTCCTTAGGATCCACTTTTATTCCACTCACGGATTTTCTTTCTCAACGAATCACGAAGAATGTTCACATGGTTTCTTACGGATCTTCATCAATGTTACTCCCTAAAAAAGAGTTGAATTAACAGTACATTAACGGCGGCTCCTGGTTTACTGATAGTAAGTATCCGGTCGGCGGAAAGAGAACAGCTTCCTGTAGCGCTTGTGGTGGTATCTTTGCACCAGCGGGAAACGGATCTTCGAGTCGTGGAACTGCTTGATGTGAGCACGACGGGTCTTGGAGGCCTCAACCGATTCGACCTTGATGATCTGTTGGGAAAACATTCGCATCAGTGATTCTTTCCGGGTCAATACTACCAAAAAGCAACTCACCTGAATGCCAACGGTCAGATTACGATACTCGCGGTACATGTTGTGGGTATGGGACGGGAATCGTAGCGCAGCCAGATACCGAAGTTCTTCACGCGCAGCGGAGTTTTCTCCAGGATACGCTTGACCGAGACAATCTCACCGGTGGCCTTCTTGAACTTACGCAGCTGCCGCAGGAAGTACCAGAAACGGGACTTGGCCACAATGGCCACGATCTGGTCCGGTGCGAAGATGTGCATCAATTCCACCATGTATCACGCACAGACTGTCGTTTGCTTATTGGATTTTACAGGATTTTCCCATAGGAGTAAAGAGCTATACCTGTATACAGAGTCACAGTCACCGTCAACGCCAATAAACTACTAGGGAATTCGTTTATTATCGGTGTTGGAACCAGTTCCAACCCAGTGCGAAACCGAACTTTTTGTCAGTGCGAACCTCAACCTGAGCTAGGTTTTAAAAACAAACGAGCAAACTGACGTTTGTCAGAAAACAAGCAGACCCAATCCTGATACCCGATCCAGGTTGGAACTGAATAATAAACGAATTCGCTATACGACCATAGAGGTAACTCTAAGACCACTGGGTCCCGAAGAAAATCATTATTATTTTTGGCTCACTCAGTACCAGAACAACGGTCCCAAGCAGTCCCAAGCTATTTCACTCACCCCTGCATGTTCTGCATGAATCCACACACCCCTGATGTTATCTGTCAAACTTTCATAGCGAATCAAAACAAACATAGTGTAGTAATAGAATTTCAACTAGAATAGGGTACGTTAATCGTTTGCTTGGGACCAATAGGCTACTAAAGTGGTGAGCCAATTTAAAATCGTTAGTTTCGTATTGATTGTTGATACGACGATCGCAGGGGGATCTGTCATTTTCAGCGATGTGGAAGTCATGGTTGCCAGTAAACATTGTATGTTACCGCTTGACGTTTTGACAGCTCATTCGACACAGAAACACCCTGAAACACCCAAAAACACACAAGAAACACAATCAGCACAGTCACAAGGTGGCAGAGTGACTTACCCCCTGGTTATATGTTTTATTTGGATACACAAAATGTTTGAAGCCATGCGTCATCTAAACCATAATTTGCATCACCACAAATACACTTGTCAACAATCTTCAACTGGAACGTGCTCATCAAATCACTTCACCCGGGAGCGCATTCCCGATGCTTCCACGCATATTTTTCTCTCCACTCCAACCACACAACAACCAAATATCACTTTTCTTTTTCAAGACACTCCGCGCACAAAAGCAATGCACATCGCAAAACCCTAACAATAGATCAGCGCCGTGCTCATCACCGCGTAAATAAAAAGAAATAAAAATTTTCACTCGCGGTGCCACAAATTTTTGGTCCGGGAGAAACAATAAAACCAACAATCAATACGAAACTAACGATTTTCAATTGGCTCACTACTTGACTAGCCTATTCGTCCCAAGCAAATCGATTAACGTACCCGATTCCAGTCAAAATTCTAGTACCACACTATGTTTGTTTTGATTCGCTATGAAAGTTTGACAGATAAAATGAGGGGTTATTGGATTTTCCTATACTTCGAGGGGTGATTCGACTAGCTTGGGACCGAAGATAGTACCAGAGTTGAGCCAAAAAGTTAAGCACGTTTCTTCGGGACCTACTTGTCTTAGAGTTACCTCTATGATAAAACCACGCAGTGCCAAATCTTCTGATGCTTGCAATTTTGCAAACATGATGAATCATGTTTTCTTTCTTGATTCTAAAACTTCTCGGAAAGCGAGAAAACCACCACTCACCCACGTATAACCGTCCGGGAGGCAGAGTGCCAGCGCTAATCCGGCAAATGCAGCCGAAAACTATGAAAGAGAATGCACGCACAAAACAGAGAGCAAATTTAGATACAACATGATACAACCGTATCCAAAGGCGTTCAAAACTCGACTCCAGATTTTAACTTTAGATTTAAGATATTAATAATGTAAACGCAAAAGCTGTGTAAAGTTTATTCGATTAAGCCTGCACAAATAAATAAATTCACAAAAAAAAAACACACAGTTCCAGCGTTCCAGTTTGCTCAACTTTATTATTTTTTTGTTAACATTATTTTTCATAAGGCAAATTAGTGAAATTCATACTGATTTATTGTGGCTAAAATTCATAAGTGGGATCTTATTGAATTCTTACGTCCATTTGCCTCAGTAATATAGAATATTATGATAAAGTGACGTCGTCAGTTGAGTGCTCAGCAAACAATATTTTTGCCTCTAAAACCAGCAAGCTGCCTGTTGACTGGTGTCCTTATATAAACATCATTGGTATTGAAGCGCCCATCGCATGAGGGAAATTATCCGCTCATCGGGCAGCACTTTTCCGCGATTGCGAAGCAACAGCACAAAAGCGAACTGTCAAAATCGTGAAAACGGTGCAGCAACGAGCGAGCAGCCAGCAGCCAAAAAGTGTTAAAACGAAGTTCGTCTCACCGTCGAAAAGTCGTGTTGTGTGTGGCTAGTGTACGCGCAGAAAAAGAGTCTCCCATCTCTGCCTGGTATTATCGTCATGTAATTTTCCTTCAGCATTTCCCATGTTCCGTTCCGCTAGTTTTCCCCAATCACAGTTAATAGTGCGCTAGCGAATCGGAAACGAGAAGAAATTTAATTTGGAAGTTTACTACATCTACTTTCGGAAGCTGTGTGCCATCAGCAGCAGAAGTAGTGGTTCCCCGTAGATCGGAAGAAGTGCAAAGAAGAGAGCACGGGAAAAAGAGTGGTGTGTGTGTCCGACGGTGAAAAGGATCATCGTTTCTTACGTAGTTTTTTTTTCGTCGCTCTGGTGCTCCTCCGAAGTAGCGCCAGCAGCAACTGAGATTGTGCCAATTTTGCAAGCAAGCAGCAGAATCGAGAGGAGGTGTAGAGAACCAACGGAAAGGAAAATAAACTACGTTTTAAATACACAATAGACTCGAATAGATTTGCTGGAGGTCGCCGTGGTCTTGTGTGTTGTTCTCCGGATGGAACAACCCGAAGCAACGAAGGATTAGTGGAAACAAAAAGGGGATGGAAGTGACCTAAGGGAAATAGTTTGGCTTTGTTTTGATATAGTGTGTCCCTCCCGTTTCTCTCCGCATCACCAGCTGGTAGCCGAGCTGCTGACGCGATATCGAACCAAGTTCCTCGTTCCATAGATTGGTGTGCGATTGGGTGGATTGATGATACCTATCATCTATCGTCTCAATCGGTATTGTGTCTGTGAGGAGTAAGTTAACACCTTTTAGCAGCACCATATAATTCTATCGAGAAGAGATAAGCGACCACGAGTGGCAGCAGTGAAATTATATTTATAAATATTTGTTTTCGTTTTTTTTTGCATTTGCAAATTGGATGGGGGAAGGAGTGGAGGGACGGGGGCTTTTAGAATCATGTACTGTCCCCCGTCTATTTGCACACATGTATAATGTTGGAGGACAGTACTGGTAAATATAATAGATGTTTTTTTTTATCTTGCTGCTTTTTGTGTCTACAATAGGTAGCTATAGAGCTTGCATGACCATGACGATGACATCGAAGACGACGTCATCATTGAGAGACGGCTGTTTTGTAACATCTTCGTAGAATATAATGATGGAGTATGGTTATGAGCTACTTTACCGAGGTCACTATATCTTCATCACATTGGTGTGGCAGCCACCATAGGTTTGACTGACATGATAAAGCATTTCTAAATCTAAAGCAGCTCGCTCATAGACTGACGTTGTTTGAGCCGCACCTCCATGGTGAACAGACGGTCGAGTGTAGCACCTTCTCACTCTGGTATGACCACGAACTAGATCATTGGGTTTATCGCGATGACATTGCCCTACCTAGCTATGCTATGTTTTTTCCAACTGGAGGTCTTTTGTCATCGGGTTTTTGAAATAACGCTTTACATTACACTTCCTGTAAACTAATGCCACAGTTAACCTGCCATGCTAGTAAATCACGAATTCTGGCATCGAAATGTCATGGAAGCGATAGTGCAGAATCAATTGGGATGCGCAACTTCATTACCAACTTCTTGTAGCTGGATACAGCAGAAGTTCGTTTCGCCGAGCACGTATCCAAAAGAACCCATCGGCAAGTCTCGCCACGTCTCAAGTTGGTAAATTTGTTTCTCCTTACCACGAACTCCATATTCAACATCATACCAACGTTATTCACATCTTTATCATCGCCACCGGTAACCAATTTGGCTTCCTTCGGTGGAGATTTCATGCAGTATTGTTTTCGAGATGCTTCATACAAAGTCTGCAACTGTTGTAAGATTAAATGTCATAAAAGCTTACTAAGAGTCTACAAGAATCTAAAACGTTATTGTTGATGAAAGCAGAAACTGTCTGAATTTATCGGATCAGCTATTTTGAACAACACAAACATTAAGACCTTCCCTAAATTGTGTGTGTGCGTATTCCCTCTAACCCCCACTGGCCGGCAGTGTTATTATGGAAGAACTCTCTCTACAATGTTGCATTTATGGTCATTGTAGAAAGCTTTAGTCCGGGAGTTAGAAGGTGATAGCTCTATTGCAGATCCAGCAACCCATTTCAGAATGTCTGGGGAGTCACGCCCATTTCGAGGTTACTTTCAATTACAATAAGCCCCGCATGTAGGTATTGCCTCTATCAATTGGATATTAGTATCACACACACACATTTCCAGTTTCAAAATATTCTTTTGAATTTTAGTATATTTCGTTTGTTTCTTTTATTGTAAAAAGTATTTGGACTGGTCTCACCATATTAATCTACGCTTTGCATCTCATTTCGTGATTCATCTTTGTCGGAATACTTCCTTCAACAAACCCAAATTGTCTTGCATTGCCATGGTCATCTGGGAGGAGCTTCGGGTCTAGTGCTTTCCCCAGGAACCTTTCGTGGCCACCAGCTACCACCCGTCCAGTCTTTGGCGTATCCAACGAGGCATCTTTCATATTGCTTGCAATCTCCGACACCGACGAGAGACCAGTAGAGGAGCATTTTTGCAAGCGAAAAACTTGCTGGTTCACGGCAACGTCGGCCACCGCATCACCACCAAAACTCGCGATGGGCACATTATCAGCACGTTCCCAGGCTAATTCATACCGGACCGGGTTCAAACTCGCTCACGGTGTGGCATCTCGCAATAAAGGGTGTCCACGATGAAATTGCCACACACAAAATTGATTCGCAAAATTCGAGTTTTCATCCGATTGCCATCAAATTTTCAGGGATTGAGAAATAATTATTAAACTTCATTTTACCATTTTACTCGTATTTTATTTACAATCCATACGCAAATGCCCGCACCTTGGCCTTAACCCCGGCCATAAGATTCTGCACAACCTGTGATTCAACCGTTTTTTGCATGTAAACCCATACTTTCTTCAGTTCCTCGACTGTCTTCACTACCTTAGGTCGTTTAAGAAGGTGCTGCTTCATAATCGCCCAGTACTTCTCGATGGGGCGGAGCTCCGGAGTGTTGGGAGGGTTGAACATTTTCGGCACGAAATTGACCTTATTGTCCGCATACCACTTCAGCACGTCCTTGGAGTAGTGGCATGAGGCCAAATCCGGCCAGAAGATTGTTGGGACGTTGTGGGCCTTCAGGAGAGGAAGCAGCCGCTTCTGGAGGCACTCTTTTATGTACACCTGTCCGTTCATCGTGTCCTGGGTCACGAAAGGTGCACTCCGCTTCCCGCACGTGCAGATGGCTTGCCAAACCAAGAATTTCTTCGCAAATTTGGACATCTTCTGAGTGCGGACATGCTCCGGAACGCTGAACTTATCCTTGGCCGTGAAAAACAGGTTGCCGGGGATCTGTTTGAAGTCGGCCTTCACATATGTTTCGTCGTCCATGATGCAGCATTCAACTTTCGTCAGCATGTTGAGGTACAACTTCCTGGCACGGGTTTTGGCGGACTTTTTCTGCTTCTCGTCGCGATTAGGGGCCTTTTGTACCTTGAACGTTCGAAGCCCAGCCTTAGTTTTGGCCTTCTGGACGAAACTTCGGCTTAGGTGCAGCTTCTTAGCCACATCCCTAACGGAGGCGTTCGGATTTCGGTTGAAGGCCCCAACTACGCGGTTGTGATTTTTGGTGTTGTACGGAATACTTTTTCCTTTACTTCTGGGCTTCCGATCGGTGGTCAACCGTTCTTCGAACCGCTTAATCACTCGCGACACCGTGGAATTCGCGATTCCCAACGTTTTAGCGATGGAACGATGCGAGAGATCCTTGTTCTCGTGATGAATGCGCATGATTTTATCACGCACGAGCTGTTCTTTCGACTCCATTTCCGCGAGTTTTGATCACAGGACTTTAAAACTTGCAGGATGTAAATAATGCACTATGAACTAAATCCACCCAAATTTTCATTAAATTCTACCCAACGGTTAAAAAGTTAGAGCAATTTCATAGTGTGGCAATTTCATCGTGGACACCCTTTAGAGCAGAACTACATGTCAAAAATGTGCCATCCAAACTCGGATAACCGGGCTCCCGGGAGGCAATGAAAATCGACACTGAATAATGAAACTGAAGCTGCTAAATCACTAAATGATAACTTTATGAACACTCTTGAAACTGAATTTCAGCACAAATCAAAAGCAAAAAAAATGTTTAATTCGCTGACGAAAAATACGCAGCAAAAAAAAAAACACGTCAGTTGTCAAGGGCGGTCTACTGCGGTCTTCTGCCATGAGATATTTAGAGATGTGACCCGATATTTTAGAGATGTGATGGATAAAAAACGATATTATTAATTTTAGTGATTATATCGGATAAAGTGGATTGATTCAGATATGAATCGATTTACCAAAATAAAGATTATTTTTCATAAAATTTGAATAAATCTGAGTATTTAGTCCCCCTTGTTAATTTAAAGATGCTTCATGAATTTATCTAAAAGTGGTGAAAACCCACGTGTGACTGTTATGTGTTTATGAGCAGTGCATTAAACTACCTGAGAACCAACGTTGCCAGATTGTTTTAAAGTTTATTATTTTATATTTTAGCTGAAAATTTTAGCTTTTGGACTATGATCGGAAAATTCTGAAAGAAAACTCCGGGAATGTTTGAATTAGCTTCTGAAGGAACATCCAGAGAAAGAAGAAAGAAGCTCTTCTGGACGAAATTTGAATTCAAAGAAACCATCGGAAAAAAAAATCGGATGTCACATCCAAAGGAAGCCAGAAAAGCTTCGGAAAATGGACGTAAATTCCAGAAGTAGCCGGTTTTAGGGGAAACCAGAAGAAGTTCGGCAAAGCCTTCGAATAAAAGTCGAAACCTATGGCTTATGGACACACTTCCAGAAGAAGACGGAAGGAACTTCCTGAAGACGCTGGCAGACAGTTCCTAAGGTAGATTGCAAGAATCTTCTGGAGAAATTCGGAAGCCAGATCGCCTTCGGAACAGTCAGAAGAAACAAGGACATAATTCCGGAAGAAAGAGATTTCTGGGGGATGTTCTAATAATCTAGCAAATTTTCCTGATATTCATAAAAAACCCCTGAAGACCCCGCAATGCCCTGAAGTTTTCGGAACATTCCTGAA